AAAACTGTTATCATGTCCCCCCTCAACCTTCTCTTTTCAATTCATAGTTATATTGAAAACTATCTATGGGCATAAGAGTTGGGGATCTGTATTCAGATTGTCTTAAAATACATTTGGATGTTGGTCCCTCACAAGAAAGCTTTCAGATACAGCTTAGTTCTCCATTTAAATGCCCTTATTTCTCATCAGTGTCCAGTTGTCTATTGGATACAACTTTGAGAAACTGGAAATCAAGTGGAATGTGGATATTGAAAATATTTGCATCATGAGACACTTACTGACACTGAAAGTCAGGGTTTAAAGCTCTTTATCCATGCATGTCATCTTTAGTTGGAGTCTAGCAGCCTGTTTTTGAATTCTTGTGATCTCAGTTTTGGCATTCTTCCTATTCTAGGCTGGCAAAGTGTGAAACTTACTTTTTATTTTACTGATCGCTCTGAATGCTTCAATTGGAATAAATCCTAGATGTTTGATCTTTTTCGGTGCAAATGCAGGAGACTGTTGGAGTCCATCAAAGCAAGGAAACATTTTAGTTGCTTTACTTAAAGCTACAAATGATTAAATTTCACTAGCTTATATAATACTATGAGCCTGAATCTGGGTTGCTTCTTTTGCAGCTTTTGGGTGTCTGCCCTGTCACGCTGCTATTTCGTCATGGAGTTGCTCTAAGAAACTCTCCATTTCCCGATAATTCAGTCTCTGGATATCTGCTATGTACATTGGACAAACGTCTCAGACACTTCGCCAAAGAATCAATGCCCACAAAACAGACATTAGACAGGATCACAAAGAAAAAACTGTTTCTTGCCATTTCAACCAGAAAGGACACTGTCTCAATGACCTAATCACATGCATCCTACTCCAGAAGACTTTTCAAATCTGCACTTGAAAGGGAATCCTCTGAACTGGCATTCATGCTAAAATTCGACACTCTCTGCGGGGGGCTGAACAAAGACCCCAACTACCTTACCCATTACAAAGATAACGTCCCCAATTATCATCTCTAATACCATTAGCTCACAGACATCTACCTTTCCCCACCTCTAATATCATTAACTCTCAGACATTTACCTTCCTCCCCCTCCCCCCCCATCCCCCTTCTGTTCTGAAACGTGATTTGTCCTTTTCATATGTGTTAATTTTTTTTAATTGTATCCTTTGGTATATATGGTTGTGACTATTTTCTTCCACTATTTGATCTGAGGAAGTGGGTCTGGCCCACGAAAGCTCATCATCTAATAAACCATCTTGTTAGTCTTTAAAGTGCTACATAGTCCTGTATTTTGTTTCAGCTACACCAGACTAACACGGCTACATTTCTATCACTATTCTCTCTGGATATGTTACACTTTCACTTTTGGGACAAGTTATCAAACTGTCCATCTTCTAATAGTGGAGGAGTCAGCTAGATCTGGTTTAACTGAACATCATAGTGCAGCATTCTGATTTTGTTAGTTGGAACAAGTAAGGTGTTACACTTTGTATGGTACTGTTATGGTAGAAACAGACCTACAGCTTTCTTTTTGTTGTGGCTGCAGATAGCAGTTACTGGGATAAGACTGCATAATGTGGTGGAGTATTGTTTTCCTTGCTTAAGTGTTGCTCAGTTTCAACAGCCATTTATAGCACCCAGTGGGACAGATTATAGCTATTTAAACAGCTCATGCAGAAAATAGTGTATTTCACCAGTAATAATTGGTTCAGATGCCTTTTGTGAACTTAGTCAAGCTGCCATGGTCATAATCCTTGATTGCCTTATGTGTCTGAAGAGGTTTTATGATCTACCTATAATGAATCCATAAGCATTTGCCAGTATGGACTGCATCTATGCAGTGTTTTCTGCTAACTTTTGAATAGTTGTGATATTTAGAGCACCCATTTCTGCCTGCTCAAGCCTCAAAAAGTTAATTGAAAAATAAGCACGGTGCATGTGTACAACATGCCTTTCAAATGCTTACCTTGTTCAGCTGTAATGAGGTCAGAGCTTCTCTTTGAGAATTCAAGGCATGACAGCTTGTGTTGGATGCACTCGTAGGGCTTGTCTTCACTGCAAAGTTAACTTGAGTGTTAGTGTTGCCCCAACTGAGTCCAGTCTACACACACAAGCCCTTAACTCAAGCCTAGTGGTGCTTTTAACTTGATTTGACTAGCCTAGAGAGAAGATAGGCTAAAACATTTGTGAGCACAATTCATGACTCCCCCACGTGTGGAATGGCCCAGACACGGGGGGGGGGTCTGCTCTGTGACCCAGAGGGTCCCTCTGCGTTGTGATGGGAGATTCTCACTGACTCTTCCAAATGTGTATTAACCCAGACACCCAGGCTCAGTCTCCCCGGGAGAGACAAAGGAAGGGAGGTGGAGACCAGCACCTGGCTGGGGGGCAGGGCTGGAAGAGAGTTTTAGTTTGTCTGGTATCATGGAGGAAGCAGCCTAGGATTTAGCGGCCCTGTCTCCCCCATCTCAAGGGGGGCTGAGGCATCCAAGGCTGCCCTGTAACCGGATTACATCTATGCTGTGCTGTATCCTGGAGAAGCAATAAACTCCCTCTATTCTACTGGCTGGTGGAGTCTGTTCGTGCCACTACGGGGGTGCAAGAGGCAGGGGAACCCTGACGCGCCACCACACAGGCTAGTGCTGCCTTTCCTCCGGTACCTTCCCCCACTTCTTCCCATGTGCTCAAAAAAGGCCCCTAATGTCAGGATGTCTGGTCACCCCAATTGGAATAGGTAGATCTTACTGCCTGCTACTGACTCTTCTCACTACTCTTTTTCTATATTATAACTTCTTTCAAAGGCTAAGTGAACGAACTGTCAAATGGATTGTCTGAAACCTACTGTGTATGCAATAGATCAAAGCAAACCACGAGTGTTTTGTGTCACGTGCACACAAATCTGGATAAGCTTGGCGGATGGTGGGGAGGGGATGTCAAAATTTGAGAATTAGAATTACAATTTCAGGAATTGCTTCTGTAACAAAACCCTTTAGGCCGGTAACTGAGTATCACACTAAGAGAAGATGAGAGTACATTTTTAAAATGCACATGGGAGGGATTGGAAACTAAACTGATGCGATTTGTGTGTGTGTGTGTGTGGGGGGGGAACATCTTTGCTTAAGCCTGTGAAAGTGGAAACAGAACAAAAATCATCTAAACCCTCCATTTTTCCTTCCATATTCAGAGGAAAATTGCCCCCACTTTGATCACCCCTCCGGTCAGAGGGATCACACAAGAAGCGCTTTTTACCATGGTGTGGCATTTTTTTTAAACAAGGTGTGTTCTGAATACATGTTGCATTTCTGAGCCCAGTGCTGTAGGCAGCCATCTTGCTGAAAAAGATCACTTGTGACTGACATTCTGAGCGCCCTGTGAAAGAGATGCGGAACCAGTCTCCATTCTGACTGTCTAAACCATTGCTAAAGTAAGTTAAAAAACTGATGGAGCCTCGCTTCTACATCTCATGTTACCAGTGTCACCTGAACCTGCCTGCAGCTCTATGCTCAGAGCTAACTCTGGAGAAGCCTTGAAGTGTGTCTTATTTGTTGTGACACGTTCTTACCATGGGAACACCTCTCCCGCTTGGCTGAGCAGAATGAGTGCAGCTTTCCTTTAAAACTGGACTCGAGCTCCATTTGCATGTCGGCTCTACTCAGATTCCAATAAAAAGCTGATAATTTAGAGCAGGGGTCTCCTGCCTTTTTAAGCACAAGATCACTTTTTGAATTTGAGTGCAATCCAAGATCTATCTCAAATATAAATACCCTTGCTTCACCTCCCTCCAGCCCCTTCTCCGAGGCCCTGCCCCTGCTCACTCTATCCTCTCTCCTTGCCCATCCTCACTCACTTTCATCAGACAGGGGCAAAGGGTTGGAGTGCAGCAGGCTCTGCTCTTGGGTTAAGGGATCTGGAGTGTGAGAGGGGCTCTCAGCTGCTCTTGGGGCAGGCAGTTGGGATGTAGGAGAGGTTCTAGGTGCAGGCCCTGGGATAGTTTTTGGATGCAGGGGTGCTCGGGGCTTGGGGTACAGCAGGATGTTCATGACTGGGGTAGGAGTTCAGCTGGGCACTGCATACCTCTGGTGGCTCCTGGGTGGTGGTGCAGTGGGGCTAAGGCTGCCCCTGCCCCTGCCCCTGGACCACTCTCTAAAGCAGCCAGTAAACTCCATCCTAAGTCCTGTTGTGCCTTGGTGAAGAAAGGATATAGATTTGGGGGGAGGCATCTTGACATCAGCTCCCCTCGTCTCACTCTCCTGCCTGCACAGAAAGCAGGAGGCTCCCCAGGGGAGGGGCAGCTCCAAGGCAAAGGGCAGGAGATGAGCAGCAGTGGGGGGAGAGGCAGCTGACGTGCTGGCACTTGGCCAAACCAGTCAGGATCACCTGTCAGAGGCTCCAAGATCTACTTGTAGATCCCAATCTACTGGTTGGTGACCACTGATTTAGAGCAATGATACGGCTGCCTTTGACTTTTAGGCCTATATTGTATTCCTATTTTGGGATTAAATTATACCACACTGCATTCGCATTTGCTTGTTTAATTTCCAACCCACGGGACTATTTCAGGAGTATTTTTCACTCTGTTTACAAGGCAGGTAAATTGGCCAGACCCCTGATAGCTAGAGGGCTGTAAGGCGTAAGGAGAGTGTCCATCCATCTGTGAAGTTTTGGCAATATCATGCTGTAAAGCCCATCCCTCTGGCTGTTGGGAAGACAGCATTTGTTGAGACTTCTCTCAAGGTGCTGGTTCTTGCTTAGGGCCGCTGCAGCCATACAATCTAGTGATGGAGAAGTCACATTTCTGGCTTGGACAGAGCTGTGCTGGTAAAAGCTTTATTCCTTTCTCACATCACAGACCTCAAATCCTAGATTGGGGGGTTTGGCAGCATCACATCTTTTTGGAGGGAAGCAAGAGTGTCCTCTTCCTCCACAAATAGCTCCAGAC